TGAGAGACTGACCCAGACACAGGAGAGGTGCACCTCTACAAACTACTCAGGCTCCACGGATTCAGCCAGGTCCACAGACTCTACATGCCATGGTTGCTGATCCAGTTGCCGCTCCACCTGCACAACCAGCTAGGGGTGGGGGACATGCGGGTAGAGGTCATCCTATAGAGGGAGTCCAGGCTAGATTCTATATTTTTTCGGGCAAGATGGAGGCAGTGGCTTGAGACGCAGTCATCATAGGTTTGTTTCCGGTTTGTCATAGAGATGCATCAGTCTTATTTGATCCGAGATCCACTTATTCATATGTGTCATCTTACTTTGCTCCGTATTTGGATATAGCTCGTGATTCTTTGAGTTCTCTTATTTATGTGTCCGCACTTGTAGGAGATTCTATTGTTGTGGACTGTGTGTACCGGTCAAGTTTAGTTGTTATTAGTGGTTTTGAGACTAGAGTTAATGTATTATTTCTCAGTATGGTAGACTTTGATGTAATCTTGGACATGGACCGGTTGTCGCCATATCATGCTATTCTGGATTGTCACGCCAAGACTGTGACACTGGCTATGTCAGGTTTACCTTGGTTGGAGTGGAGGGGTACTTTAGATTATGTTCCTAGCATGATTGTGTCATTTCTAAAGGCTCGGCAGATGGTTGAGAAGGGGTGTAATGCTTATCTAGCCTTCGTGAGAGATGTTAGTGTTAATACTCCTAGCATTGACTCAGTTCCAGTAGTGAGAGACTTCCCAGATGTATTTCCAGTGGATCTTCCGGGCATGCCGCTCGATAAGGATATCGATTTTGGTATTGACTTATTGCCAGGCACTCAACCCATTTCTACCCCACCATATCGTATGGCCCCAGCGGAGTTGAAGGAGTTAAAGGAGCAGTTGCAAGAGTTGTTTGATAAGGGTTTAATCCGGCTTGGTGTGTCGCCTTGGGGTGCTCCGATTTTGTTTGTGAAGAAGAAGGATGGTTCTATGTGCATGTGTATTGATTATCGGTAGTTGAACAATGTTACAGTAAAGGACATGTATCCATTGTCGCGCATTGATGACTTATTTGACCACCTTCAGGGTGCAAGAGTGTTATCGAAGATTGATTTACGGTCAGGGTATCATCAGCTAAAGATTCGGGGTCCGAATATTCTGAACACTACCTTTAGGACTCGGTATGGTCACTAGGAGTTCCTTGTGATATCATTCGGGCTGACTAATGCCCCAGCAGCATTTATGCACCTGATGAACAATGTATTCCAACCATATCTTGATTTATTTATCATTGTGTTTATTGACGACATCTTAGTATACTCCCGCAGTCAGGAGGATCATGAGCATCATCTGAGGATCGTGCTCATGACCTTGAGGGAGAAAACGTTGTATGCAAAATTCTCAAAGTGTGAATTCTTGCTTGATTCGGTGGTGTTTTTGGGTCATATAGTGTCGAGTGAGTGGATCAAGGTAGATCCAAAGAAGATTGAAGCAGTTCAGAATTGGCCCAGACCGTCTTCAGCTACTGAGATTCAGAGTTTTCCTGGTTTGGCCGGGTATTATTGTTGTTTCGTTGAGGGTTTCTCATCTATTGCGCCACCTATGACTAGATTGACCCAGAAGGGTGCTCCTTTTAGATAGTCAGAGTAGTGTGAGGCGAGCTTTCAAGACTCAAGACTGCTTTGACTACAGCCCGAGTGTTGGTGTTGCCTACGGGTTCGGGGTCTTCCACTGTGTATTGTGATACGTCACGTGTTGGGCTTGGCGCGTTGTTGATGCAAGATGGTAGGGTGATTGCTACTCGTCTAGGTAGCTGAAGGTTCATGAGAAGAATAATCTAGTCAACGACTTGGAATTGGCAGCTATTGTTCATGCATTGAAGATTTGGCGACACTATTTGTACGGTGTCCTTTGTAAGGTCTATACCGACCACCGGAGTCTACAACATCTATTCAAATAGAAAGATATACAACTTGCGGCAACGGAGATGGTTATAGTTGCTTAAAAACTATAATATCACTATTCTATATCATCCTAGGAAGGCCAATGTGGTGGCCGATGCCTTGAGTCAAAAGGCGGAGAGCTTAGAGCGTTTAGCATATCTACCGACAGTAGATAGGCCTTTAGCTCTAGATGTTTAGGCCTTGGCCAATTAGTTTGTTAGATTGGATGTTTCAGAGCCCAGATAATTTCTTGCTTGTGTGGCCTCTCAGTCTTCTCTATATGATCGCATCAGAGGGCGTCAGTATGACGACCCCCATTTGCTTGTCCTTAGGAACACAGTACAGTACGACGATGCCAAGGAGGTTTCTATTGGAGATGATGGTGTGTTGCGGTCGCAGGGCCGATTATGTGCGACCAATATGGATGGGTTGCCTAAGATGATCCTTCAGGAGGCCCAAAGTTTGCGGCACTCTATTCATCCGAGTACCGCTAAGATGTATCAGGATTTGAGGCAGCACTATTAGTGGAGGAGAATGAAGAAAGATATAGTAGAGTATGTGGCTCGCTGCCTAAATTGTCAGCAGGTGAAGTATGAGCATCAGAGGCCGGACGGTTTGCTTCAGAGACTTGATATTCTCTAGTGGAAATAGGAGCGGGTTACCATGGACTTTGTAGTTGGGCTCCCACGGACTTAGATGAAGATTGACACGGTATGGGTGATTATGGACAGGTTGACCAAGTCGGCTCATTTCATTCCGGTGATGACCACTTATTCTTCATAGCAGTTGGTTCAGATCTACACCCATGAGATTGTCCGACGTCATGGCGTGCCGGTATCCATTATTTATGATCAGGGCACAAAGTTCACATAGCGTGTTTAGAGAGCTGTACAACGTGAGTTAGGCACACGGGTTGAGTTGAGTACAACATTTCACCCCCAGATGGATGGAAAGTCCGAGCGTATCATTCAGATATTGGAGGATATGCTTCGTGGCTGTGTTATGGATTCTGGGGGTTCTTGGGATCAGTTCTTGCCGCTTGTGGAGTTCCCCTACAACAATAGCTACCAATTGAGTATTCAGATGGATCCTTATGAAGCCTTATATGGGAGACGGTTTCACTCTCTAGTTGGCTGGTTTGAGCCGGGAGAGGCTAGGTTATTAGGCAAAGATTTGGTTCGAGAAGGCTTGGAGAAAATCAAGTTGATTCAGGATCGGCTTCATACAACCAATTCTAGACAAAAAGAGTTACGCAGATCAGAAGGTTCGTGATGTAGCATTTATGGTTGGAGAGCGGGTTTTGCTCTGGTTTTCACCCATAAAGGTGTGATGAGGTTCGAGAAGAAGGGCATGTTGATCCCTAGGTATATCGGACCTTTTGAGATCCTTGAGAGGATTGGTGAGGTGGCCCCCAAGCTTGCATTGCCACCTAGCTTATTTGTAGTTCATCCGGTGTTTCATGTTTTGATAATCCGGATGTATTATGGTGATCTGTCTCATGTTTCAGACTTCAGCTCAGTCCAATCGAATAAGGATTTGACTTATATTGAGGAGCCAATGGCTATCTTGGATAGACAGGTCCAGAAGTTAAGATCAGAGAACACTGCTTCGGTGAAGGTTCAGTGGAGGGGTCATTCGGTCGAGGAGACGACCTGAAAGACCGAGCATGACATGCGGAGTCGTTATCCTTATTTATTCATCACTTCAAGTATGTCCTTATGCACATTCGAGGAGGAACATTTATTTTAAGAGGGGGAGAGCGTTGGTTCTTGACTTAGAAGCTTAAGTTAGAAATGTTGACCAAACTTTGACTTTTATGAAAACAACCCCGGAACTGTATTTTTATGGCTCTCATAGCTTCGTATCATGATTTTAGACTTGGGCATACCCCGGAATCGAATTCGGAAGTCTGTAGGTTGAATTGTGTTGTTTTGCCGAAAATTGACAATTTGAAGTTAGAAGTTTGACCATAGGTTGACTTTTGGCTATCGGGTTCGGAATGTGATTTTGGGACTTGGAATAGGTCCTTTATGTTATTTAGAACTTGACTGTAAAATTTGGTATCATTTGAAGTTGAATTGATATGATTCAGGTGCTTAGTTGCAATTCTAGAAGTTCTTGAAATTTACTTTGAAATTCATGTGTTTTGGTGTCTGATTCGTAGTTCTAGATATTATTTTTGTATTTTGATCGTGCGAGCCAGTTCGTATGATGTTTTTAGACTTGTGTGAATATTTTGTTTGGAGCAAAGAGGAAAAATTGGAAAAACTGGAAAAATTGGACTACCCCTTAGGTGTGAATGAAAGAGGAAAAATTGGGAAATTTTGTCAAGTTTTTGAAAAATGAGAATTTGAGTTTTTAGGATCGATTTGGATTCAGATTATGAAACTAATCACATATATGGATTCGTAGGGTTATGGGTAGTTGGAATCTACCCTTGGACTCGGGTTTTGACCGGGCGAGCCCTGGGTTGACTTTTGTCGACTTTTTGGGAAAAGTGTAAAGATCATAACTTTATCTATTGTAATTGTTTTCTCTTGCATTGTTTGATGATATTAAGTCACTTTTGGTTAGATTTCAGTCGTGTGGAGGCGAATTTTAGGGGAAACGCTATTTCCGACGGTTGAGTTGGCTTAGTTGAGGTAAGTATTTTGCCTAATTTTGTGTGAGAGAACTACCCCTTAGGAATTGGGATTGATCGTGTTAATTGTGTTATGTGAAAGCCGTGTACGTAAAGTGACGAGTGGGTACACTGGTATAGATGGTATTTGACCGGTTTAGGTTATATAGACTCTTTCCATGCCTTTAATTGAATTACCTTATCATGTTTTAATACTCATTGCCAATCTACTTTTACTTTTGTTAGTCTATCCTAACATGCAAGGTTAATGGTTAACAGTCACATTTCATAATGCACTATACTAGTTCGAATCTAGTAACACTCATGTTACGTAGTTAAGTTTTACCTATTCTTCTGTGAAAAGAAATTCAAATATTGAATCATATTGGAACCTAGTAGGCTATTGTATATACTAAAAAATTTCAGAAAACATTACGTGATATACCCAGCTAATTTGACTTGGGATCTCAGTTAACAACATTGCAATACTAAAACTATGACATCATTATTTTGATAAGCACACACGATAAACGCACCCCGATCTTGGCCTCCTTTAGTACTGCTGATGTTCTCTGGATCTCTGGAAGCAGTCAACACTCAGATTGAAAAGCAACAATTATCCCAAACAAAGAATAACAAAACAAGAGGAAAATAATGTGTTTTCAGTAACATGACTAAGAGTTCCTATGAAAATTTTATATTATCTAAGCCATACTCTTTATTCGGAATACCAGAAACGAAAGAGTTAGGAATAGGAAAGGAAAAGAAAATGACGAAATAAATTTTCTGATGGCCTCTTTTTTGGACGTGGGACAAAATAAAAAGAAAATTTTTATCCGGTTTTCCTTATTTTTCATTTGCTTTCTAAAAGAAGGTTTAATTAGTAGCTTCAAAAATCAAGTTTTAATAGTTGTAATGTGCTTCAGGAGCATGGCAATAACATCAGGAGATGCTTCAGAGGCTGCTTTCTTCAAACGTTGTATTTTTTTCTCAGTTTCTATCTCAAGCCTCTTTTCGGTCGAGTCCGAGCTTCCGCTGGTCTGCATATTAATCACAGGAAAAGTAATCAAATACTAATATTTCCTTACTAAAACTAAAAAGGAAATAAAATTTTGCTTATCTCACTGTTTTATCCGAAAAACGGATAGAGTTAAATTTGTACGTAGTTCTAAAGATATGTGGTATAGCTTAATACAAACCGTAAGGACAAATAGAAATATCAAATATGGATTGCAAAAGGTACAAAGTAAACACGGTTGTAAAGAAGATGATTTTTTAGGACTGAGCAGGTTGAATCAATTTATGAAACTTAGAAGAACAACTCTTCTCTATATGAGAATATGGTGCTTGAATTATAATGTAAAAAAAACCTACCCCTTACAGAAATCATAACCATTCCCTTTATAGTAGAGGGACATTACTTTAGATATAATTAAAAATACATAGTGGGAGACCCATGATAAATCAGTTTTTTCATAATTTCTACCAAGATTCTCTCCTCTAGTGGGATTGCAACGGCTCTTGTTTATAAGCTCGATATTGACTCGAGTGTTCGGTCTCGACTCGAGCTCTCGATCTTGACTTGAGCTCGATTCTGACTCGGATCCTTGCATTGGTTCGGGATCAGGGTTGGTCGATCTCTGAATCATAAGCTCAATAACTTTACTTTACATCATAGTTCGATTTGGATTCGAGCTTGATAATGATATCGAGCTCGACATTGATCGGTCCCTCGGGCTCGAAGGTTGTTTGTACCATCTTCGGAACCTATTTTGAAGTCTTACTCTGATCTATTACGTTTTGACCTCGACCGATCGTACGAAGGCCGAAAATCTATTTCGACCGTATACAGATAGTCCCCTCGTTTCTCGAGAAGGATGTGGTGAGAAACGATATGATTTTTCAACGGCTCGATCGGATTATAAGCTGACATTTACATTGGGTTCGACCATGACGTACGTGATAGCTGTCCCGTCGATTTAGTCTTTCAAGGCATTTAATGCGTGTCAGATGGTGGTCGGCCACCGCTAATACTGAACCGCCATTGCTTTAATCTATAAATAGCCCTTCCTTTTATCATTTACCACTTTTACATCTTCAATCTTCCAAATTCCCTAAGTTCTTTTTCGTTCTCTCTCAATTTATTCACAAATCTGTGATTCTTCTTTGCAAGATTCTTCTTCTAAACCACCAAATCTTTGTTACCTTTTTTTAAATCCAAAATGGTGAAGACATCAAAGATCGTCCCCCAAAAAGACAAAGCTTCTTCTTCCCAATCCGCCGCCGACAAAATACTGGTGGATCCACGGCCTGAGGAGTGCGTTCCGGTGGCGTGTGTTCTTACCTCCAATTTCAAACTCGATAAAGGTTCGCCGGTCCCTGGCCGGTGTGAGCCCGTATTGAAATATATTTGTTCGATAACCCGGGAGCACATCGATTGGATAAAAAAAGATTGTAACTGGGAGAACAAAGAAGTGGTAGTGCCGTCTCCCGAAGCGGATATTACTACTCACGTGAGAGAGTTTTTAAGCTGTACACTTACCCTTTCACATTAGGTCCCCTCGACCCCGTTATCATAGATTTTTGTCGTAAATACCTAATAACCCTAGACCAGATACATCCTTTCTTTTGGCGGATCATTATTTTGATCCGATATTTTGTGAGTAAAATCGAGGGGATGCCTTTTACCCTCGATCACCTTATCCGATTATACCGTCCTCGCCTTTTTCGAGGAGGGTTAATAAAACTCCAACATCGAGCTACCAAGGCTCTGTTCTCGAGTATAGACGAGGATAAGGATCGAGGTTGGATGGGCAAATTCATTCGAGTAAGGACTTCGGACCTGATTCCGATCGAAAAGATGCCTTTTCCCGAGGAGTGGAACATAAAGCGTAAGTGTAATTCTGTTGTTATCTCCTACTATTTTATCCTTTCATTTCCTTCATCAATATTCTCCTTTTGTGATGCAGGGGCTCCCTGGATGCCCGGCGCAGTGTTCGATCTCAAGAACTGGGTACGTGATCTGGTTTCGACCTCCTCCTACGCCGAGCGCTCATGGCGTGACTTGTCGAAGGGCCGATGGGAGGCCAAAAATCAAGGTAAGCACCTTTTTCATATCTTTTGATAATTTGAATAAAATGCTTTTCACAGACTTTAATAAAAATTTTCGTGTGTAGGTGTGGGCAAAGATGCGGTTTTGAGATTTTTTCCTTTCAAAGACCACACCCTAATATATACTTCTTAAACCCCAAAAATTCTCTCTCTAGAATTTTGCTCTCAAAATTCCGCAGTCACTGTAGTAGTGAGTAGTGCGCGAACAGCCGCTACAGTGCAAAACAGTACGGTGAATAGTGCCAAACAGTGGCGCGAATAGTGATTTTGCTATTGTTTCGCCGCTACAGTGTAGTGAACAGTAGCATCGCTTCACTGCTCATCCAATGAAACAATGATTCGATACTGTTCATCGTGGAAAGCTGTGAGTTTGAGCTTCAATGGCCGCGATGGCCGGCTACCAGCCATCTTTTCCTGCTGGTCTGCCCTCCTCCAACATCGCCCAACCACAAACAACACCAACTATCAATCCATAAACTCTAGATTACTCAAAGATTTTGACACCCAACTCAACCAATCCTCCTGCGATGACTGCTGCCCAAGCTTCAGTGCAGCCCATTGCCCAATCATCTATGACAACAAACAACAATCCCCAATCCATGGATTATTTAAAACTTTTAAAACCTACTGCCATTAATGCCCTTATGCAAACCTTCGCTATGCTACCATTGAAACCAGTTGAGTTCCTTCACGGAAAACCAGTTGTGAAGTGGAAGAAACAAGAAGTGAAGCAATCTATCGTACAACAAGGACTTCAACTTGCAGTTCTTGGGAAATTTTCGTATGGGAAGCCTGTTATTAGTGAATTACGTAAAGTGATTCCAATTCAATGTGAGATTAAAGGCCATTGTTCAATTGGTTTAATTGAAGATAATCATGTGTTGATTAGGCTATTTTTATTGGAGGACTATGTTCATCTTCTTTCAAAGCCAGCTTCTTATTTAAAAGCTCAGTCAGATATGTGGCAGATGCATTGTACAAAATGGAATCCATGGTGGACACCTGATGAAGAGACTCCCATTTCCAAAGCTTGGATTAGCTTTCCAGAACTGCCTCCTAATTTCTTTGGGAAGGAATGTGTATTTTCCTTCGCTCGTGCAGTTGGTAATCCATTACATGTAGACCTAGCCACTCAAAATGGGACTAGACCTAGTTATGCTAAGGTGAAGGTGGAAGTTAACTTGTTATGTAAGTTCCCTCGTCGTATTAAGATTGTGGAAGAAGCTGATGAATCTGGACCAGAAGAGTTCAAGTGGATCAGGATTAAGTATGATTATATGCCAAAATATTGCAAGCCTTGCAAAAACCAGGGGCATAGTGAGATAGAATGCTGGGTAATTCATCCTGAATTACACAAGAGATTTGAAGAAGGTGTTGAGGAACAAAGCAAAGAGAAGGCAGTTGTGGTGAGTTTTGATGCAATTGGGACTGCTGGAAATTCAACAAAGGTCCTAACTAGTGGAAAGGTGCTTGGTAAGCCTACTACTAATCATGCCAAGCAGGAATGGATGCAATCAAGGAAGAACAAATACCAACGAGATAATAGGGGTCACATTGTTGATAACAAACAAGGAAAGGAAGCTGACAAGGGTAAAGGGAAGGCCAAAGTTGAAGAAGATGCAACCAAGAACAAGTTTAATGCACTAGAGGTTGAGGAAGTTCATCAGCCTACTCTACAAATTACTGAAGGCAAAGGTGAGGATCATAGCAATGGTAAGAAGAAGGAACATGAGGAAAAGCAAGCTAAGAAGGGCCAAGAGAAGAAAAAGGAAGTCAATACTCAACAGGAACATAAGCATGTGAAGAAGGAAGCAGTCAAGAAGGTGGTGAAAAATGAGCATAATGGTAACTCTATTCCTTCTGGGATTCAGTCTTCAGTTCCTAAAGATGATCAAGAATTAGCTAAGGCTAATTCTAGTGTTCCTAGTGATCAACGTACTGATGAAAGGGCTAATAAGGAATCCACAATCGACTGGGTTCATAGAAGGTTTGGGACTAGCAATGAGGAGCTAAAACAACTCAATGTGACCACAAACCAATCTTGTCATGAGATTCCATCTCAAACATTTAAATATTATGGGCAGGCTGAGGATCTTGATGAGGTAAACTCTACAAAGGTCTTACGGAGTGATGTAATTGAGGTTAAGGATGATAAGCTGGGCACAACAAAGACAACAGGAAACAAGGTAAAGAAGGACAACAAGCCAAGTTCACATGTCGATAGGCTGGAGACGCCCGGACTAAAGTGAGGCTCACCAGGCGTTAGGCTGGCAACGCCAGGCCTAAAGCCAGGGTCCCCAGGCATTAGGCTGGCGATGCTAGGCCTAAATCCAGACTCCCCAGGCGTTAGGCTGGCAACGCCAGGCCTAAAGCCAGGTTCACCTGATGAGGCAGTTATAGTAAACCCCAACCTTAGTGCAACTGGAGAGATTTTGGCCTATGTAGATGGTGTTCTGGTGTATGCATCGGAGAACAAACTTGATGGAGATGTTAATGTGAAGATTAGGGATGATATAGTTGAGCCTGANNTAGGCAACAAGAAGGGTGGTGATCTCACTAGAACAGTGCATTCAGAGCAGACTACTACAGTAACTCCTGGGCTAGGCAGTGTCTATGCGCTACAATTCAAGGAGTATGAACGGGCTGATGAGTGGGCAATTATTCCAAGAGAATCTGGGGAAATAGAGGAAGTGCCTATGGAATCTGGCACTTATCAAATTATGCAGCTACATCTTTACATGATTTAGTTACACACAATGTGATTTACACACAAGACTCATCTACAACATTTACATGATTTAGTTACACACAATGTGACACCAATTGATGAATCAACTGCACAAAACTTCAAACAAGTGGCTGGGGAAGGGGATTTATCACCCACAGCTAGTGCTAAAGGAGGTAAGAAAACTAAGAAGAATCAGAGTAA